CTGCCCTTCTGACCCATAACCTTTCACATCTTTCTCCACATCTCAATAAATACTTCACCTCTGAACTTCTATAGTCCCCTGATGGAGATTTATTTTTTCTGTCACTGAGGTTTTTGAACTCTGACAGTTGTGTCTCTTTAATCTCAAAAGCAGAAAGGTGAGGCACAGAAGATTAAAACTCAGGACTTCATCTTTTTTATCAGAAAGAAAGAAAAAAAAAAAAAGATCTTTTTGGTGCCTATGAAGGCCATCACTCACAAACTGCGACTTGTCTACCGGAGGAGCGTGGGTCATCGATTTCAAGTCTTCTTCAGAGAAGCGTTCCATCTCCTCCAGAACGTACCCGGAATACAAGACGGTGTCTTTCACAAAGATGCTGATGGCTCTCAGCATGAAGGACACAAAGAGGTGCATGTGGATATAATTCCTGGTGCAATGCAATCTCCTGGATATAGAAGAAAAAAAACCCACAATTTTAAACATTTATTTTCTCTTCTTTTAATCATGCGTCTGATTTGTTTTGATCTGTGGAGCTTTTTTATTATTATTATTCAGTCCTCCCACACTGGTGCAGATGTTATTACATTTTTCTAATCATGAAGCCAAACTGCGGCCATCAAAACACCAGTTGTACTAATTTGCCAATTAGGCAGCTTGTCTGTAGGGTACATGACATTAGCTGCTGATGTGAAGATGGAAACCAAAGTGCGCAGGAAAGGAATAGAAAATGTGAAACATTGGGGGAGACGGCGGTCCAGGCTTCGATAATGGCATGCATTGGCCTGAGGTAAATCTGTTGTGTCCTTAATTTGACTTCGCACATTGGGATAGCCGTGCGGGCTGTAGACTAATGCATTGTGCTACAGAATTAAACACGGCTCGCTTGGATGTTCTGAAAGCACCGATATCACTTGTCACTGTGCCGTACCCTGCGGCTCGTGTGATCTGCATCACTTTAATGTGTGCTGGGAGAGGCATTTTCACTTACAAAGAGAGTTTACGGAGTACCAGCAAGCATCTGAAGAGTGAATGAGTGGTGTATGCCTCCAGATTTATCATCTGGTAGGAAATTGAAGATGTTTTTAAAGGCTTGGACTTTGAATGACTTTAGTATGTGTCCTGCACTGGAAAGGAGATCCACATTGTTTTAAACCACACAACAGTGGTGCTCTACTGTCTGGTAGCTCCTGACTATGCTGCCAATGGCTACTTTGATATCAGTAACAGAGACAAAGCTATAAAATACTGAATCCCAGATTGTAATCCATATAGGGCCCACAAGACTGTACCAAAACTTGGTTTCCATTATCTGGATCATAATTTTGGCAGATTGGAAAGGGGAAGTGAAGGTGGTTTTTGGTCCTCTAACTGCCATAACCGGTTATCAACAATTGCATCTTTGTGGTGCAGGCATCTTGCCAATGTAAGACTTTGATGGTGCTTGGTCTGGCCTGTGTGTGCTGGGAACCTCCTCTATGCAGGGCCCTCCTTACCATCTTGTCTTGAATTGTATTGTGATTGTAATGTCTCCCTTATATTGTAAAGCGCTGTGCAAACTGTTGGCGCTATTAAAATCCTGTATAATAATAATAATAATAATAATTGCCTACATCTCCTTGTTGTCTGGGGACAAGCTTTTAATACCACCTTGTCTCACCCTCTCAGTTCTCTGAGGTTGCGGAGAGCTTCTTCTCTTCCTGGGCATATTCATGGGTAGGTTTAGGTAATGAATCCCTATTTTGCTGTTAATCTTTGGCTGCAAAACAGAAGCTACTTCCCTAGCATCTTTACTTGGGCAAGTCCAGATCATGCCAATTTTTTGGGTGGTTCTTAAGGGTGCAGTGCGCTTGCAATGACTCCTGAAGTATACAGAAGCTCTTTTCAACTGTCCTACCCACTGTACACTTAAGAAACAACAAAACCACCATCATTTAATAATCGCTACTCAGTAAAAGTCTTCTTCAGGGAATTCGAATGTTATACCAGCCAAGTGGAACTTTGAATGAAGAATCTTAATAAAAGATTGACTAGTTTGTTATCTTTCAGGCTCCTTCTATCGAGCTCCATTCTAAACAGTGGTTTAGATTGCACAAAATGAAACAAAGCTGTAGGGATGGGTGGAATATGCTCATTCACGTCTATAATTAGATGTTCCCGTTATGTACCAGATGCATCTTCCATGCTTCACAAAAACAACTGTGGCATTATGCGCCATTACCTATCTCTTCAACATCTTATTGCTGGGATGGAGGAGGAAACATTAGCTGTCCTTAACCCTTCCACTCAAGATACTTGGAAGTCTACGCTTGGAATTCAATAAAACATTTACTGTTCTAAGCTGCAGTTCTCAATCTGGGAAATTCACAGTTCAGTAAGGACTGTGAATTGCAATATATGATAAAAGTGTTAAATGTGCACGATGGAGAATTTTCTTGCAACTCAGAAGTTAAATCTTAAAAATACATTCAAGTACCTGAACTATTATCATGCATTTTCAATGTTTGCATTCATAGCTACTCATAGTACTGTTAAAGTGACACAAAACTCAGAGGTTACATATTAAAAATACATTCAAGCACCTTAATTATGAACAACAATGTATCTTATTTGTGTATCACTCGGCTGTAGATCCTCCAATCATCTCTGACACTGACCTTCCTTCTGGAGGGTGACTACTTGTGTTCCCCATGGTCCCTGTGTGTGTTGTAAAGTAGTCACCGCTCCAAGCTCACTCCCAGGGTGGACTACAATCTCAATACAAATGATTAAACTAAACATGAGATTGTAGTCCATCCCGGGAGTGAGCTTGGAGTGGTGACTACTTTACAACACACACAGGGACCATGGGGAACAGACGTAGCCCCCCTCCAGAAGGAAGGACAGTGTCAGCGCCAATTCAGAGATGATTGGAGGATCTACAGCCGAGTGATACACAAATAAGATACATTGTTGGTAATAGTTAACTGGGTCTGGGTCATGGTTGGGGAGATTCATCCCTCTTTGTTGGTCCTGATGGCCATTGTCTTCGCTACATAGTGATCGGACGTCCATCACAACTTTCCCACCACCCAACCTGTTCTTGCACTATCAACATCTGCCTTCACACACTCCATGGTGGTTGGAATAGGATTGGACCTCCCATCTTGTACTTATACACTCACCATCTGCCTTTACATGGTGCTTGGATAATGGTGTCTAATCTACAGCCGAGTGATACACAAACAAAAGATACATTTGTGTTAATAGTTAGGGCACTTGAATGTATTTTTAAGATTTAACTCCTGAGTTTAGTGTCACTTTAAAGGAGAACTATGGGGTTAAGGCTTTTCCCCCGTAGTTCTCCTTAGGGTAACGGGAGGACACAAACTAGCGTCCTCCCGCCACCCTAGGCTCAGTATACAGCAAGCTGTAGCTCGCGGTATACTGAGACGCCGCAGCTGAAGCAGATCCCGACAATTATGTCTGGATCCGCCCAGCTGCGTGATTGACAGCTGGCACTGCCTATCTAGAGGCAGAGCCAGATGTACCCGCCCCCTCCCCCGTCCGTTCCGCCAGTCAGAGCTGGCGGATCGGAGCGGGGAGGGGGGAATCCAGCCCCTCCCCTGTCACGGCAGAGAGCCGTGACAGGATCGAGAAGTGAGCGAACGCCGGTATATGTTCGATCACCTACCGATCTACTGAACCGACCTGTGACAGTCTCATTGTCACAGGTCAGCTAGAACTATGAGGTGAGTGAAAAGCACTCACCTCATAGTTCTCCTTTAAGTTAATCTTAGATGGACATATAGTTTTAAATGGATTTAAGTAAGAGACTAACAAATTAAAGTGTAATTGCAACTAACACTTTGAAGCAGCTACAGCAGCAGGTTGGTTTTTCTTTTGGAAAAATAATTCAAATTACATATATATATATAAAGCTGACATTTGAAAGGTTAGTTTTCTTGAGGATAATCATTTTTTTTCATTTAATTGATTAAATAAGATCAAGTGCATAAATGTTTTTTTCTTGAGTGTGCCTCTTCAGAGTATCCAGGACCTTAGTCATTATGTTTGTTCGCCGGATTCACTATATGCAGACGGGTGACATTACCTGACATGACCGGGTCAAAAAGGAAAAAAAACAGAATTATCTATAATTTGTTTCCCGGGGACGGAGCTTTTGGCCTCGTTCTTCACGAAAAGATTAACCAAGGAAATTATTTTTCAAGAGCTCCTGGCAGAGTTCAGCAGCTGGGAGAATTAGTCTGACCTTCGTTCCACCCAACTGGCCAGGACCAAACCCATCTGGTCACATGACAGAAGCAAAAATAAATAAATACAATAAATACATACGAATAAATTTACCTAAAGTATCCTAGAATGAGCACTGCGATGGTTAACGATCCCAGCGACATGGAATATCCAACTGTGTAAATTAGGTGAAGTCGATCGAAAACTTCCTAGAAGACGAAGAGAGAGAAAATGTCACTCGGAGTGACGGCTTCATTACCGCCATGTTCTTTCTATGCTTGTTAGAGTGGGCGTCACAGGCGCGAGTACCGCTCAGTAAGCCGACCTCAGATCTATTAAGAGCATGAAATAATATATATATATATCAGGTAGGATGTGTGTGTGTGCGCAGGGTCGTGTCACGCCAGTCACTTTGACACAAAACCTCTTATTAAAGGGAAAAAAAAAAAGGTGGCGTATGTTCAGAAAGCGCACTTTTCCGTTATTATTGAAACGTAGACTTGTAAGTCATTTTTCGAAGGGAAGTTCCCACTTTTATTTGATTCCTGTTCTGTAGCAATGGACGAATCGTTTCCTCAGAAATTAGGTTTGCAGTGAATTAGCAAAAATGAATGTTATTAGTATATTTTCTTTCCAGGTCGAATGTAATTTATTCATAAGTTGAGAGTGAATCAGGAAAATACCACATTATTATAAACTATAAACCCCCCACATCCACCAGCTCAGGGTTGTGTGGATGAGGCCTTTGTCTCCATTACATTGAGGACAAGATGCCTTGTAGGGGGGAAAGAATTTGCTTCCCCCCAGCAAGTTACCCTCCCCATATTTTCTTTTCATGCCGAAGGTAATATTCAGAAAATACCACATTATGGCCACTAGATGGAGCTGAGGATCATAGGAAATAAGTTATTATCCACAGCTCCATCTAGTGGCCATAATGTGGAATCTTCCTGATATTACCTACGGCCTGGAAAGAAAATATACTAATGATGTGATATTTTCTTAATTCACTCATCTTATTAGAGAATTGCATTTGACTTGGAAACAAAATATACGAACAACATTCAGTTTTGCCACATTCACACGAAACGAATATACATGGCAGTTTCGCAGGCTGAATGGCTCTGCAAATTTTTGATAAACATACCCCTTAGTGTGAGGTCAGGTGGAGATGTAGGAACCATTTATACTATTGCTTGGGTTTGTCTGTGCATCTGTGTGCTGTGTTAAGGCAACTCATTCACTGTAAAGATAAATAATGTATCGCAGCGCACTTCACCTACCATGTCAGAGAAACACACCACAGCGCTGGTGTGGTGTCTCTTTTGATAACCCATAGTACTCCATAGTGATATATATATATATATATATATACACACTAAGTGGCCAGATTATTATATACACTGAGTGGCCAGATTATTATGACCACCTGACGTTTGTAGGCAAAAAAAAAATATATATATATATTACATTTAAAATAATAATACATATTACATTTTATTAATAATAATAATAATAAAAAAAGAGAAAAACATTTAGATCAGTACATGATGGATCCTGATCGGGTGCTATTGTGACTGCCCTTTACCATTAACACTTTGCTCCTTGAGCTGATTTTATCAAGTAACCCTGAAAGTGTTAATTTGTTAAATGATTTTTTTTGCTGTACAGGCCAATTAAAAATGGCTTCATCTTGAAAGGTTCTTCTGACTTTCAATGTACTGAAAAAAAGAAAAGGCTGAATCATAGGTGAAGCGGGGATGGAGGGGGAGTTAAGAAATCATTGGAAACCGTCTCCCGGTGGGAATATAAGGCAGTATGATAAATGCAAAGGTTTGAGATATTTCCAGAGTCGTAAAAGAGGAAGTTTATTTTCTATTAGGGCAGGCTGACCTTGACCGAAACGCACTTCACATCGGCGCGACTCCCCAGAGGGTGCTTTAGCCTAAAAACATTCCAGAATTGAAGTTCTGGTGGGAGATGGAAGCAAAACAGGAACACCGCTCTCTGAAAAAAGATTTAATACGCTCTACGACCATTTCCAGGATAAAATGCTGCACGGCAGTAAAGTAACATTAACCCCTTCACTCCTCGGGTTTATTTTATGTGCAGATTCAAGCAAAGTTTATATTTGACATTTTCTTAGCATTTATCCTCTTTCTCTGCCTGATTTTGTTTTATACTCTCCATATCAATACACATTTGTGGGCGATTTACTAAAGTGAATAAACATTTCACTGAACACTGGACAGGCGGTCTTCTCATACATCCAACAGGCTTTAAGGTAGATGAAATGGTCTAGCCAATGTGTGCCTGTCCATGAACGGGGTAGTGTTTCCTGTTGTGCAGTTATTTTGTTAGCTTAAGGTTTACTATAAAGTATGTAGTTTGTTTTGTATACTTGTATGGAAGTATAAGAGAGGGATGAGAGGGTAGAGTGGGCATGGGTGGTAGTGGAGGAGTATGATCAGAGGAGAGCGGGCATGGATGGAAGAGAAGAATGGAGAAAGAGAGAGAGGTAAGCGGGCATGGGTAGAAGAAAAGAATGGGAAAGAATGAGGGCGTACCTGGGTGAAAGTGGTGGAGTATGATCAGAGGAGAGTGGGCATGGATGAAAGAGAAGAATGGAGTATACAGGAGGGTGCAGATGGGTAGAAGTTGAAGAGAATGGTCAGAGAAGAGCGGGCAGGGATAGAAAAGAAGAAGAATAGTGAAAGGGGAGAGTGGGCATGGGCGGAAGTAGAATAGATTAATCCGAGGAGAGCAGGTATGGTTGGAAGAGAAGAATGGAGAGAAAGTAGAGCGCACTTGGGTGGAAGTGGAAGATAATTATCCAAGAAGAGTGGGCATGGATGAAAGAGAATAATTGAGAGACAGGAGAGCAGGCACTGATAGAAGAGAGGAATGGAGAGGCAGGAGAGCAGGCACTGATAGAAGAGAAGAATGGAGAGACAGGAGAGCAGGCACTGATAGAAGAGAGGAATGGAGAGGCAGGAGAGCAGGCACTGATAGAAGAGAAGAATGGAGAGACAGGAGAGCAGGCACTGATAGAAGAGAAGAATGGAGAGACAGGAGAGCAGGCACTGATAGAAGAGAAGAAGAGACAGGAGAGCAGGCACTGATAGAAGAGAGGAATGGAGAGGCAGGAGAGCAGGCACTGAGAGAAGAGAAGAATGGAGAGACAGGAGAGCAGGCACTGATAGAAGAGAAGAATGGAGAGACAGGAGAGCAGGCACTGATAGAAGAGAGGAATGGAGAGGCAGGAGAGCAGGCACTGATAGAAGAGAAGAATGGAGAGACAGGAGAGCAGGCACTGATAGAAGAGAAGACTGGAGAGACAGGAGAGCAGGCACTGATAGAAGAGAAGACTGGAGGGAGATGAGAGCGCACTTGGGTGGAAGTGGAAGATACTTATCAAAGAAGAGTGGGCATGAATGAAAGAGAAGCATGGAGAGACAGCAGAGCGGGCACTGACAGAAGAGAAGACTGAAGGGAGATGAAAGCGCACTTGATTGGAAGTGGAAGAGAATGATCCAAGAAGAGTGGGGATGCATGAAGGAGAAGAATGGAGAGAGAGACAAGAGCACACTTGGGTGAAAGTAGCAGTGAATGATCAGAGGAGAGCAGGCATGGATAAAAGAGTAGAACGGAGAGAGGAGAGGGCACCTGGGTGGAAGTGGATGAGAAAGATCACAGGAGAGCAGGCATTGATAGAAGAAAAGAATGCACAGACAAAAGAGTGGCATGGGTGGAATTGGAGGAGAATAATTAGAGGAGAACGAGTATGGACAGAGAAAAAGAATGGTGACAGAGAAATGTGCAACATGGGTGGAAGTGGAACAGAATGATCCCAGGAGAGTGGGCATGAATTGAAGGCAAGAGTGGTGGGATGGTGGGAGGGAAACACGCACATGGGTGGAATTGGGGGAGAATAATCAGAGGAGAATGGGCATGGATGGAAGAGGAGAAGAATGGTGACAGAGGAACGTGCACATGGGTGAAAGTGTAAGAGAAAAACCCCAGGAGAGTGGGCATGGCTGGAAGAAAAGAATGGGCGGGAGAGGAGAGCAGGCATGGATATTTAAGAAGGAGGGTGAGAAGGAATGGATGGAAATAATCAGAGAAGTTGAGAAGAATGCTATGTTCAGGGTTCCCAGGTTTTAGGCTGAATTCACAACTGAGGGATTTAAATGAGTACTGAGGCCGCGTTGTGAAGGGGACTCCCTGGCAGCCAGGTTGTTAAACCAGTTCCTGGCCAGGGGGAGCCCAATCCAACAGCTTTGCAGGGGCGGTTAGCCGAAGTTCCCGACTTACCTTGCAGGTTCCACATCTTCGGCTCTAGGCCTAAGCAGGGATCTTACTTGGACATCAATAGGAGGCCTCCAATGCATCTATGGCTTTAAGTTTGGTCTCTGGGAGTCACATCCCACATTTGAGGCCCATGTACCATGGGGACCCAGGTGGCACATCCAGAGGATGTGCCAGAGGAACCTTACCAGCCACCACCATTCACTGACCGGCTGTCACCAAACCACCACACACTCCTGCCCCAAATCGTTTGCTGCCATTATGTCTTCATGAAGCTATGCACAGCACTTTCCCGGCCCCTTCACCAGCCATGATCTGCTTGCATTATATAGAGAAGTACAAAGACCCAGAGATGACATCACAGGGTATAAAATAAAGGTATGTAATGAAAACGGAAATGTTTTATTTAATAACCAGAGAAGGCAAAACAAAAGAACAGCTTTAATATACGTCTGCTGGTTTAAGTGTTTTATAACGTTTCAGTTCCTCCTACGCTCGCTCAAATACGGCATGCATTAAGTACCGTACATTATTGTGTACTGATACCGTGCTCCGGAGGTGTAGGCATCTGCACATGGCGACCTTTTGACAACTCCCAAGCGGCCTATGCACAATGTGAGGTCAGAGATTGTTTGCTGCTCTGTGTGTAGTAATGTGGCGTTATCCCACGAGCATTGTAATTCATCAATCTTCATACAAGCAACTGACGAGCGCCACGTGCGTTCGCCGTGCGGCAACGGAAAGGTATGGAAAGGCGTCGGGAGAAAGCACGACGTTTATTGTGGGAGCGCTAATGCTCAGGTTTCAAGACCACGCGGGGTCATTTGTTAACGTGAAAAGACAAGCCGGGTGCTAACAAAGCAACAAATTAAAAGGTTAATTGAAGCAATGAAGCTACAAT